TGCACTCCCGCGCATGTTAATTCTGAATGTTATTCTATATTAATATGGAGCCATCTACTGAAGATTCCTTGATCAAAGCCATCTGAACCCATTAAAGAATATAACATACAGTAACAAAGAAGATACTTGCAGCCCTTCACAGATTTTTCTGCCTGACACAGCTCTGATGTCAAAGTAGATTTGACCTACCCTTGTCCTGCTATTAATCTGGAAAGGTTTCCATTAAAATTGAAGCATGCCTTCTGCTGTCCCTCTCTTAATTCATCCATTTATGTGACTTTGCTATTTGACAAGGAAGAAGGTTCACAGGTGGTCGTAACAGTCTTCAAAGTTTCTATGCCTCTTCTTTTGCTTCTCCTACTGCTGCCAGCCATCATGTCTAAGCCTTACTACAATTACATTTCCCATGAATAGATCAATTATCACGTTTGAAATATGAAAACAAAGTGATTTTCACCTAGCTATATCAATAGTACAGACATGGAGGTCCATACACCTGAAATTTTTTCTCTCTCAAAAAATGATGAAGTCAGCTTAATGCTGGAGAATCATTACTAAAGCCTCAGTAAAATATTAACTGACAAGTTTATTAGCTTCTTATTTATTTTAGAGGAAAAATATTACTAATAAAATGCTTAATTATTATCATAATCAAATTGAATTTCCTCCAGAAAGGACTTATAGCAATAACTCAGACATATAGCAATAAGGGATGCAGGAAAGTAAGCCAGCATTTAAGAATTACTTCTCTAAAAAGGTGAATAATATTTTCTAGAGAATCTAGACTGGATTATGGAAAAATGTGATACAACTTGTTGTAATAAAATATAATTAGATTTGACTGTAGAACAGAAATAATTTCTGAAGGCGGACCTATGTAGTTTACTTTGCAACTCAATTTTTGCCTTGCCTTTTAAAAATACAGTTAATAAAAAGAAAACAACATGTGAAGGTATAATAAAGAACAACACTACAGCCAAGCCCGAGTGAAGTATACAGCCCAGAAGAACATTTAGGAAACAATATGAGAACTGATCTGCAGCCTGTTCTCCTTCAGAATTCCTAGACAGATACACTTCCATTTCATTAAAGCAAAAAAACTTTGGATGCGTAGACTTGGAAGTGATTTTTATTCACAGGGTTCCTAGAAAAGATTTAGCTTTAGATATGCTATAAGAGCACAAACTCTTAAGTAATGGATTGGCTTCTTTCTTTCTGTGAATGGTAAAGTAGAAAAGAACTAGCACAGTTAAAAGAAAAAGCAAAAGTAATGACGGAAGGAAGAATATGCAGAAGTCTAAATTAAAGCTAAATTAATATCTGGATTTACAAGATTGTTTCTGCTCTATCTTTCTCCCTGGAATAGGCTGTTTATACTAAAATTTACAAAAAATAATGCTGCAAAAATAATTAAGGAGTTGTAAGCTTAATCTTTCAAATATACATTAATCAAGGATTTCTTATACTACCTTATAATAGATTGCTCTTAAAAGCTGTGCAGCTTTTCCTCAGAACTCACAAAAAGTCAGAAAAAGTAAAACCCACATTGCCATAGCAATTTATATACACCCATGAAATAGGTATGCCTCAGAAAATTTAATTACCAAAACGCTGATCATTTGTTAGACCCACTCACGGTGAAGTGTTTCCAAAGAGACACTATTCATTGCTAGGCAAGAAAATAAAATAAGGTCTTCATTGCAGTACCACACTTAAATAACTATGAGTGATAGTTTCCCCTCCAAATAAACAGTTTATTTTTGCTTTCTGATACTTGTTTTTGTTTTCCTTTGTTCTTCCATTACTTCTTTCCTATGTTCCACCCCAAGGCACCACAATTATCAAAACACCAGTATGAGAAATGCACCGAAAAAAATTTCTGGTTGATGTTTGACATTATGATGGCTTGCCAGGTTTGATCAGTCATATCATGTCATACAAAGTAATGCAATCTGACTAACGCAAATCACAGGGACTCATCACCTTTCATGTGTTTGCTGAAGACTTTAAAGGTATCACACAATCTTTCAACAGAATACAAAGACCTGCTGTGTGAAAGAAAGGTTTTGTTATTTTGCTCTTCCACCAAGATAGGAATTTTTGTTTAACTCCCTTGGGAGATTTTTTTTTTTCCCTTTTCTAGAGTCTGCATATATCATACAACTTTTAGTCTCCTCCCGGAAATCTAAGTTCAATGTTTTCAGCTTTAGATTGGAGCCAATAATAAAGCATAGATGGCTCATGGACAGCTTCACTGTTTGGTTGCAGTTTAGTATGTATGCTGCAAAAGCCTTTCAGGGAAGAAATCTGGACAGGAGAGTTTTCTGTGTAACAATTTTAGAAAAGTTCATTATTTTAGAAATATAATACTTTTCCCTTCATTCTGTAAGAGAATGATTTTCTTTTCCTACAAGACGATGGAAGGGTTAACCCTAAAGGGGGCCCTAGGGATTTAAGATAACATTTTGAAACTTGCCTTTTATATACTCATTATAATTCGTTTACTCATGAAATACGAATTCAAGATCTCAAAACGATTAGCCAGAGATTAGAAAGAAGGATCTCAACTTCATTAAATTAATCTTAAGCATATACATAAGAAGACAATAATTTCCAAGTGATTGTTTTTTTAGATATATTATTCTTTCAAACCAAAATTACAGAATACCTCAACATATTTTTCTAAAGAGGTGGTCCTAAATATGGGACACTAGGGTATTTTAATGGCACATACCTCATATTCAACTTCATGAACCTAAGCGGAAACATTTAAAATCGCGTAAGTCCTCCAGTCTACAGTGATATTTGATTGGTGTCTAAATCTTTCATTTTCTTTCTTCTTTCTTTCTTTTTTTTTTTTTTTTGGATAAGTAATTTATGAAAATGATTTGATTTGTTTTCTTTAAAATAATGTTTCTAGTTCACCGAAAGTCTTTTCACTTAAATTCGATTCTAAATCTCTTGTTTATTTTTCTTCTTAGTCACTGAATAAAAATCAATTACTTGTACAAACAACTTTAGTAGTTGTGGTGGAACAACTGCTTCTCTGGTGGAAGTCAACAGGTATACAGTAATCCCAGAAAGTCAGATGAAGATATCAAACCAGCATTAACTTAGATCTTCCCAGCCTTTGCTTTATCAGGCTTTTTTTTTGGGGGGGGGGGGGGGGGGGGGGGCTTTGTTTTATTTTTTCCCTAGAATTAAGATGAAAATCCTTTTCTTTTCGCAAGGAGCAATCCTATATCCGATATTAAGCATCACTGAAACAATTTTCATTTGTTCGTCTGCTTTCTAATCCCACTGAAGTCAACGGGTACTTGCAGGTACTAAAGCCATTTTGAAGTTAAACACAGCTAGGCAGGGCTTTTCTTTTGAAGTCTAATAAAAAGAATTACCATGATATCTACAACACATGATTAGATTTCTTAATGGCAGAAAATTTAATCCTCAGTGCCTTTTGTAAAATGTTTTATTTTGTAACTTATGACAGATCCTTTGAAATCTGCTGTGTCAATTGCATGTTTAAGATTAACTTCCTCAGTATTTAACATACTAACTGAGTCTGAATTCTAACAGGGTTTCAGTATGATTATCTTTCTTCTTCTTCTCATGTTATTCAGGTTATTCTCTTAGGTTTTACTATGGGAAAATTCTCCTAAAACTACTACCTACGAAGAATACTGCTGACTCAACAAAACACTGGTTTCTCCCTCTCCCACATCCAATTTCAGTAAATAGATAAAGTTTATAGTATTATACTGGATACTGCAGCATCACTAAACTGTCTGCATTTAAAGCCTTTTCTTTTCGTTTAGCAGTATTAAAAAAGAACGGTGGGCTAAAGAAGATAAACAGAGCTCACACAGGAATGGAGAGGAAGAAAAGTTATCCCACATACAGTGGCAAGCAACAATATTACTTGTTTTTTCTGAAGATTATGAAGAAAGTTCAGCATAGCTTCAACCTAAACTTCCTGGGTCTAGGCAGAACTGGGTATAAGAAAATAGCAAAGGTAAAGCTATTTTAATACTACCTGGTGTTACATTGAAGTAGAATTACCTAATATATATTTTTAAAAGGTTTACACTTGCTAGCAACGCATACCTGAGTTTTGCAGACCAACAGGGATATCTCTTATCCTCATCATCATAAACGAGAACCATCTTATACTTTCTACACAATTGAACTTTATAAATAGTATGGTCAGATTTCAAACTCCGTAATTCATGACACCTTGGGATATAGACTGACTTAAAGCTAATCATTCTTGACTGGTAAAACAATTTGCTTCAGATTTTGGATCTTATTCTAGATTGTGATGCATAGCTCAGGTCCAGCACAAGTTTAGATAAGTTTTTATTTAGCCAGTCAAAGTTAAAGTGTTTCCTAAAGCAAACCTAGCTAACTGACATTTTATAAGCTAACACTTTTCTAATATCAAGTGGGTTACTGACATAATATTTTTTTTTTCTACAGTGACAGCAAATAATAGTCAGAATTATTTTCTTTATTCTATTGAACACATGTTCAGGTGAAAAAAAGGTCTGCACTTACTACATTCCAGTTGCGCCTCCTAAAGTAAAGCAGAATACATGCTTTTAATTCATACAGAAACTAGACCTGATATTTTGAATACAGAACAAATAAGAGTCATAATATATACTTGTAGCTTTAATCACTGGGAAGGGACATTGCCTAAGCAAATGGCGTAGGTGCCATAAAACAAGGCTTTATTTATGATGACCTATAAAAAACACATCACTGTAGTAAAGATAATTTGTACCACACATGGTCCAGTCTGAGTTCCAATCTGCCTACAGAGGAATTCATTTGCTATATTTGGAAATATATTTTGGTTGGTCAAGCAGTCACTGATGATAAGACTTTTTCCCCTGCGGTGGAAGAAAATTTCATGGAAGCCTGATAGATGGGTTAATTATCACTAAGGCTATCAAGAACACAGAGTTAACATCCATTTAGAAACCTTATTGTTACTATACCTGTTACTTTGAGTCTGTCAGCTCCAATGACAATCTCATCTTCATCTGCAGAAAATAGTACTTTTCCACCTTCGCTTGCCCTCACTTCAAATCTCTTACACTGGGCCTCCACAGCATCAGCTCCTGAAATGAAGTGGATGTTTCATCTAATATATTTTGTAAAAATGTAAGGGATCATCAACATGCAAGGAATACTCAAAACACACAGAGTTCATCAGGCTTTTATAAAATACCAGTGCTTTGTGCAAACCTGATAGATAATTTGTATTATAAAACATTCTTAAAGGTATTTACAGAGCAGCTATTTCACTACTGCATATCAAGAAAGAATCTAAAATAACCATACAAAACATGTAGTTCAGTGCCATGAGTGGAAGGCAACACAAGAATTTAGAATGTACTTAAACTCTGAGATCTTGAAATGTCAGTTCAGATGAACCTCTTGAGAGTTTGTTCTGCTTAAACTGCAATTTCTTGACAGGGAGGAAAAATAATCAACATGGCAGAAGGGCGTTTTTAAAGGTGATCGTTCAGTTCTATTGTAAACTTGAACAGCTGCATATCAAAAAAATTTAAATGACGAACTGATGTGTCATAAGTTATCTCATATTTATGAAACCAAGGCCCTAAAACATCTCAAGGCACCAAAAACTAAAATAATTCTGAGATCCAACAGATCTGTGAGACTGAGTATAATAGTGCAGCTTAGAAAATTTGCAGATATTAAACCTCTCTAAAATGTACTTCCTTTTCAATTCACAGACCTTATCTTTATTCTTCAGTGTTTTGTCATTTAAATCCTATCTTACATTTTTTAATTTATTTTATTTCATTCATCAGTGAAATCAGAACTCTATGAAAATGGTGTTGAAAAGTGACCAACCGCATACTGCATAACTAGTTGTAAGGCAGACTTCAAGACCTTTGAGAATAGTCATTTGAATATTTTCTCAGTGAACCCTAATTAGATTTCTAAAGTAGACCTGGAATAACCCATCAATCCATACGGGTAAAAACCATGAGGAAGGTACTATGGAGGGAAATATCCTATATGTAATTTCATTTTATCACTCAGGCACAAGTGTGTGAAAAACACCTGCTTCTCTAATGCGGAAGTTTTCTGTTTAATACATAAGTGCCCATTATCAAAACACATAACAAGAAATATAAAAACCCTGATAGCTAACTTGGATGAGGAATTGCCCCCCCCCAGCAGCCCTTTAATTTGTAGAATCGGATGTTAAAAAAAAAAAAGGAAAAAGATAAAGATTCTTCTTACATTCAGATGAACTTATATTTGCACTGTGAAGAATTAATGGTTATTTTTAATTCATGAGTGTGAAAATTAAATGCAAAGGAGTTATAAAAACATTTGTAATGCCCCTGTTTCTTGAAATTAGGCACGTTTATTCTGTTGTAAAAGTGTTAAATGATATTTTCTCCCTCTCTCTATGAAATTGAACTTGTTGGCTGTTGACTTTGTTTGAAAAAACTACTAAATCTTTGGAAAGAAAGAGATGGACAGAGTTCAAATAATATAATTTTAACTGTGTGATAAAGATGAAGTCTTAAGAACATTCCAGGATGACCAAGTACTAACAAAACACATAACAAAGTCTATTTGCTACTGAGGATAAATGTAGCCACAATACATATTCACATGTGGCTGTCTTACTGTATTCACTCATTGTTCTTAGACACCTTGTGGAGGTTAGTGGTGGTGTCCCTGACAGCATTGCCCCATAGGCACAGGTGCAGTTGTTTCTTCAGCATCACAAAACATGCTAGCAATACAGTTGGGAGGAATATTCAGCTCTTTTGCATCATAGATTAAGAAGCCATTTTAAAAATTGTCAACTCTACATTAAATATATTTATTTGTCATATGAATGTTTATTTTATGAATCCCAGTGAGGGATTATCAGGCCTCTGGTGAGCTCAACACTTAGAAGGTTGCGTATCTATCTAGAGGGAGAAACACCAGCAGGAATTAGAAGGTTAACTTATCAGATTTTCCAATGTTACTTCTTAGTTTGCAAATATCTGAACTTTATATGTTGTTTATATACTATACGGCAAAATAAATCAAACTTCTGGTGACTATGTCCAGTTAGTCTATGAATTAGGGGTGACCACATACCTCAGATATTAAGAACCTGAAAATAAAACAGATGACATTATCACATGATTCTTTTGGAAGAGGGAGGAAATAAAACAAACTATACACTGGTTTGAAATACTTGAAGAAATTACAGATGATTTGCTTTTAAAGATTATATGACCCACTGATAATTTATAAACAGCTGTGATTCAATGCTCAAAATATAGTTTACAATGACATCTGATAGTCATGAGCAAACACTGTTCACAGTAATAAAACCAAGGTGTAATCCTCTTTAGACAGTACTATGCAAAAACACGTATTCTGTAACGCTTCTCGTGGTTCACAATGGGAAGACTTGTAGAGGTTAAAAAAGATCAATGCTTTCCTGTTGAATGTAAGTGCTCCTAGAAAACTTGTGGTTTTGAGGGAAGATGTCTGAGATAAAATAATCGAAGTTCTTGCATAAATTATTGATGATAAAATAAGTGCTAACACCACTTTTGATATAAGTCAAAATACAGCATGCAACTCAGTATGTGTGCTGCTATTTAGCCATTAAACTTAAGTTATAAGAATGATTGTGCTGTTTTTGCCACTGTGTTTCCCTGGCGGAAAAAAAACCTGGCCTGTCACTAAGCTGTTAGCTTGCCCTAATAAAACTGTACGGTTCAAAAATCAAACAGCCTTACTAGCTTTGGTGGACAGACAAACTTACAGTTTACCAAAGCCTAACCTAAGACTAGCTTGACACCAACAGCTCTACACAATATATAATTTTGGGATAACAGAGAAAATTACTTGCGTCAAATGGAAGTCCAATCTCATTTTACCAATTATTTGTCAGAATGGAAAAAATTCCAACACTATCAAAACTTTCCATTTTGGTATACTTTTGGAATGCAGTGTTTACTTTTTTTTTTGGAAATATTTAAAAGGCACATAATGAAAAGTCATTCATACAACGCAAAATTTATGAAAACAGTATTAAAACAGACCTAAAATATATTCCCTTGTGGAAAATTTAGAAAAGATCATTTTTTCCCTTTTAATCCCAAGTCTGATTTCATAATCTTAAAAAACCTTCTGGAACTGAATATTTATTTTCCTGCACAACTCTACTTTCCAATTATTTTGCAAACTTCGCTCTATTCTAAGATTGGTCTGTGGTTAGCCATTTACACTTCCAGAGTGTAAGTTTGAAGGAAAAGTTAAAGACGTTTTGAATTATTTATTTTATAGCCTACTATAAGACAGTACTCTTTCAGTGTAGAGAGAGAATTTTTGGCTGATATTAGACTACATGCATATAAAGGCAGTTCATGTTTGGCAATTCTCAGTCATTCATTCTTTTATCCTTGAAAAAAATAAGATGAAGATTCTATTTTTGTATGGCCTTTTATTCAGATAAAAAACTTATTAAGATGTATCTTCCCAAAGTCACAAAATAAATAATTATAGGATGACCCTCAAACTGCAGTGACATTGGTCATCTAGCCTGTAGTAGCAACGGTGAGTAGATATCCCGCATTCAAATTTAGAGAAATCATAGTACATTTCATGAGGGCTGCATTTTGAATCATTATTGGAAAGCACAAAAAAGAATTCTGTTATAGAAATAATTTGCAGTCAACAACAAATATGAATCCTATTCTAAAACAATAATCTCATAGTTTCACATTGGACATTGTGATAGTTGTTAAGAAGCCTGAAACTCTTGAATACCAGATCATGTTATGATCAAATATAGCACTTAATCTTTACAATATCACAATAAGCAAAGAGTTAACAAACTTTAAAGTCTTTAAATACCACTCTATATGCAGCATGGTATTCTTCCTTACTTTGTTTTGCAGATGGAAAAGAAGTTACAGAAGAAGTAAGGGTGCCGTTAGTCTCTAAAATGCAGACAGTTCCCTAGAGCTAGGTCCAGGCGTGGTTCTCAAGAACCAGTCCCTCTGCAAGAGCTGCACTGGTGTAGTGGTGGCCTGGACTGGGGACGTGCTGGGAGCCCTGCCTGCGTGCCTGGCCTTCCTTTGGATGGAAACCAGAGAGAATGGAGGGGGCGAGAGCCAGCTCCTGCCCCCCGGAGCCTCATCGCAACCCGCAGCTGGGTGCAGCCAGAGAGCGTACTCAAGTCAAGTTTCTAGGATACATTTTCAAGTTTAAAAAGTTAAAAATCTCTCCTATAGTATTGAGCTGAAGGTCAGTCAGGATGTCTGTGGTAGAGCAGGTAAATAAACCCAGGCAGACTGAGATGAAACAGTGTGCTCATCACTAGCCCATCCTTTCTTCTTCAGTATTCTGCTCTAAGCGAAGTACACAGAATACGTGAGCGATATCAGAGAGAAGAAAAAAGATCTGCCAAATTCTTCCTCGTTTTATCATTGCAAGTGATAGCCCACCACTGGATGCCTGCCCTGCCCCCGCCTCTTTAAAACCAGCACTATATTTTGGATAATATAACTTTTCATGAAGAATGACTTACAGAACAATAATCAATAGCAAATATGATTGCTTCTGCCAAGAAATACTTATATTTTAGACACTCAGCATTTGTGCCTCCTCAGTTTCACATTGTATAAAAATATCCATAGAATTCAGCTAGTCCAAAATACCATTACAGGATTAGTTCTACTTTTTTATGTTAAAAGAAAGGGGCTTTTAGTTTATGTTGTATTCTAGGACCTAGCAGTGTATCACTTATTATTACTTAGCTACTACTGAAATAGCGGTTATTGTATTTAAGCCACTGGAGAGATTATTAAAAAAAATTAATACATGCTAAGTTAGTCTCTTTGATGTGGAACCAGATGTGGATGTCACGACAATGGTTTTGAAAAGTTCAACTGCCTACAGAGTAATGTATGCTATGAAAATAGAATTCTCTTTCATTACATTTTCATTTCCTATTTGAAATAAGAGTAAGCAGTTGCATTAACACTTTGCACGCATATATATGTCGGTGAAATTCTTAGCTCAGTCTTGTAGAGGAAACACACTACTGGCTATGCTGATTTTA